AACGTTGTGGCTGACGACTCGACTGTCCCGGAGGACACGAACCCTCTCAAGGACCGGTACTGACCGGCGGGCTGCTCGGTGTGGCACGGTAGGCCCAGAATCCGAGCTGTGGGCTGCACAACAGGCTGTCTAAGTCTTGAGAGGACTTGCTGATCGCGTCGTTCTGTTTGCGACGTTAAATAATTCCTGCAGAGTTACGGGGGATCTCCTTAAATGCCTCCTGATCAGCAGTAAGTCCTATAGTGACAGCCTTAGTTTAGGTCTAGGCTAGAGACCGTAGCTGGCAGGATCTTACCAAGATTATGTGGCCCTTAGAGAGTCCGTCAGTAAGTTCAGTGGGTAGGTCTACGTGTGAGGAGTGGGACAGTCTTTGTCATGCTCCAGTCACCATGGATGATTAGCCGATGTACGGTCTTCTCGTGGGGTTTTCCCTGTGGGGGACCCTCTGGCGTCTTCTCTTCCCTCTGGGGTTCTGGAACACGTTCACGTGCAGAGTAGAGACCCGGGGTGGTACTAGCACCACTCCCTATACCCGGGAACAGGAGGAGGAGGCTGCGAAGATCCTGGCCGAGCAGATTCGGTCGAAAAAATCCCACCTAGTGTGAAGTATGCTCTCAGACTAGGCTACAAACATAATTACAGCCTCACCTTGATGTATCTGATGGCAATTGCGTATGAGGTATGCTACTATGCTCTCAGACTATAATCTAGACATAATTACAGCCTCACCTTGACTACTATGCTCTCAGACTAGTATCTAGACATATTTACAGCCCGACCTTGATGTATCTGACCGCAATTGCATCCACAGTTCAGTCGAAAAAAACCTACCTAGTGTGAAGTATGCTCTCAGACTAGGATCTAGACATAACTACAGCCTGACCTTGATGTATCTGACGGCAATTGCATACAGAGTTCAGTCCAAAGAGAACTCCTACTGTGAGGTATTCTACTATGCTTTCAGACCACCAACGGACCTACCTCTTTTGGTACACCCATGAACTGTTGAAATATGAATCAGACCCCTGTTTGAATCCAGATGCAGTCCGATTAAGAAATGCACTTCTAAATTACCTAGGGTCGGGCCTCGGTCCCACCTACGCCTTTCCGTTGTAGGAGGCTACCACGAAGCGACTGGCGGGCGTCTAGGGACCATCTATTCTGTCAATCCATGGTCCATAGGCGCCCACCATTCTCTTCGTCGTAGCCTCCTACAACCAAGTTGCACAGGTGGGACCGGGACCTCGGTCAGTTTAATGATACTATCTCAAGGTCGTCGCCTATTTCAAAAAGCAAGAAGAAAGAAGAGAGGGAAAGGAAAGGAGAGAGGAGAGAGGAGGGAGGAGGGAGGGGGTGGGGGGAGGAACAAAAAACTATGCTCTCAGAAGAGTCAGAACCAAGATCTGGAGTTTTGGTAGTAGTAGACTCTACAGGCCCACCAGTGTGGTAGCTCCAACCAGACAAGCAGTGGGCACCATTTGCATTTCAAATCCTTTTTTTCTACAACCGTTAAGATTGGAACGATACAGAGAAGGGACAGAGTAATGCTTTTCATTTTTCTTCTTTTCTTCCTTAGATGGTCCCTAGACGCCCGCCAGTCGCTTCGTGGTAGCCTCCTACAACGGAAAGGCGTAACTGGGACCGAGGCCCGGCCCTAGCTCCAACCAGACAAGCAGTGGGCAGTTTCCGGTATGATCCGAGCACTCCGGCCAGGTTCATACCGCCGTTCTTCCCACAGAGCAGTACTATTTTGTCCTTCGGTATGAACCTGGTCGTTAAGATTGGAACGATACAGAGAAGGAAGATTAGCATGACCAACGGGCCTACGGTAGCTCAGTTGGTATATCCAATGAACTGTTGTTGAAGTACAGACCCAAGTTCTAATCCAGCTGCAATCGGATGAAGGATAAAAAATGATTCTGAAAGACCTAGGGCCGGTCAGGTCACTGACGATATCTCAAGGCTTTCGCCCTAAAAAAAAAAAAAAAAAAAAAAAAAAAAAAAAAAAAGAAGAAGAAGAAGAAGATTCGCACAGCCCCTAGGGCAAAAAAAAGAAGAAGAAGATTCGCACGGCCCCTGGGGCCTCGTCCCACTAGCATCGAGTAAATCGGTGTGTGGCACCTTTTCCATATTTAAGAATGTGTAACAAACGATTTGTTCTCAATTTTTTTATTGTTTTACAACGCAGAAAAGAATAAAGAAAATGACGGCTCTGACAACAAAAGATACGACGTACAACCCCACAATCCTTTGTTGGCGGTTGTCATCATTTGTAGATCCTTGACGTCGCCACTGCACCCGACCCGAAAGTTTTCCTCTCCCACACGCATGTGGCCGTAAGTTGTGTCCGTGTGCGTTGTCCGCGATAAAGGGAAATTCGGAAGGCCCCGCCAACTGCAAACAAGCGAGTCAGATTATGACGCCGTCTTTCCATTTCTGGCAAACTTCCTTTCTCTCCCGCGGTGTGTGTTGGTAGCAAAGTAGGGGGGTGTCGTGCCGTGGCACACCCGATGCCGAAACGGTGGCACGGTCATTGGTAGCGGGATGTCGTTAGGTTTTTCGTGCTCGGCCTTGGGCCCGTTGGACAAACTTTCGTTGTCGTTGTTGTCCTTGGCGTCGCGTATGCTCCCAACACTGCGGCTCTCTCTTCCGGCCCAGTCGCTTACTGAAGGGTGGTCTTCCCAGTCTGCCCTCGTCCGGCGGGCGTAGTCCCAAGTCCATAAGCGTGTTGGTCGGCGGGTTGGGGGGGGGGGGGGGGGGGGGGGACGAGGTTTGAGGGGGTTGGTCGTCGGGTGTTCGTTGTCCACGTGGCTGTGGGATGTCGCGCCTTAGAAGGAGGCAGCGAGAACAGCTCGCTGTCGCGGTCATGGCTGTTGCCGGTAGGATGGCCGAGGATGCATTCCAAAGCCTCGATGACCTCCTTGGTTTTCGAACAGCAAGGCCCCTATTCCTGGCGCAAAGTCCAATGACACCCTGTTTGGTGTCGGAGATGACGACGACGACCATGGCCGTGGAGGGCGTAGTTTGCTTTGGTTGTGGCCAACCATTGTCGAAATCTGTGATCTCTTGCCTCGGGCTTCGCCTGGGTGGTGGGTCATGAGGCGATCAGCAGGGTTGTGGAACGACCTGCTTCCAAGAGACAACGCTCAGGACGACCAGTACCTAGGCCTGCTGCACATGCGTCGCTCCACCTTCGATGAACTGCTGCGAAAGATTGGTCCTTTTTTGGAGAAGACAGTGACGAAATTCAGGCTGTCGTTGCCTCCGGCAAAGATATTGGCTTATGCACTGCATAGGTGGGCCCAGGGTGACTCACACTGGCAAGGTTGCTCTGGTTACGGGATGGGCAGAACCAGCGGGATGCGAGCCGTTACGGAAGTAGCGGAGGCCATTCACGCCGCTTATCCGAATGCTGTTAGCTTTGGGGGTTTGGAAGACCGTCACCAACGCATGCAGCAATTCGAGGCGTTGGGGTTTCCGAATTGCTGGGGCTGTATTGACTGCACCCAGGTGTATGTCGACAAACCCCGCTCAAGGGACGGCGATGACTATTGCTCTGGTCGCAACAACCGGTTCTCCCTCATCACGCAAGTGGTGGTGGACTCGGAGCTGAAGATCTTGGACTTCTGCTGGTTTTCCGGGGACAGTGGGCGATGCGCGTGTTCTCATGAACACGTCATTGTACAGGCGAGCCCTGAAGGGGTCGTTGTTTTTTTACGATCCACAAGATCCGTTCCGTGGCGAACGGCCGTCTATACCAGGTGTCCTTGGCGGGTACTTGCTCGGCGATGGCGAGTATCCCAATCTTCCCTGGCTTGTCATTCCGTACGGGCGTCAACCAGTGGTCACGCGAGCAATGCAGCAGTTTGACGCTCTGCACAAGATAGTGAGGTCTTGCATCGAGTGGTTCTTTGGTGTGTTCAAGATGCGCTTCAAGTTCTTTTACCGGCCGCACATTGCTGACATCACGAGGGAGAGGCTGGAGTTCTGCGCTTGTTGTATACTCCACAACCTACTTCAGGAGTGGAGTGACCTGCCGAAAGCGGAGGATGAGTTGATGGATGTTTCGTCTCCCGACAGTCCGCCTCCCGATGTTGACAGGCGTGTTGACGGTTGTCCGGTGGTGTCCATGTTCGGTCGGGAACGTGGGCAGGCGGTGAGGGACGCACTGTGCGCCGAGGTCCTTCGTTTGTGGGAGGCCCGGCTGGATGACTAAAACTCCGTTTTTTGTGGGGTTTGCAGTGCAGCAGTGCCGTTGGGTTTGGCCAAAACAAAACGGACGTAGATGCTACGTTACTGTGTAGTTGTTTTTTTTGCCGATTCGGCCAAGTACTGCAAGTTCCTTCAGTCCATTTCGTGCAACTGGCTTCGCTCCACAATCTTGAGTGCGAGGTCGCGTGGGCAAAGGGCGTTGTAAGCGTAACTCTGTTGTGTATGACACTTGCACACTCTTATCCATCCATGGCGGACGCCGGGCAGCACAGGTGCTACGCGCACGAAAGACGTGCACTCATAGATAGTATGGAGAAGAGTGAGAAGGAGGTGGAGCGCCTACACCGGTTCTTGGTTGAAAGGGGAGATAGCATCACGGTGACATTGCGGAATGGGAGGTCGGTAAGTGAAAGCGACATCTCTCTGGAGAACATACATGCCCGTAGATGGGTGTCTTCAGTGTTGAGGAGGCTGTGTGACTCGCGGAACGCGTTGCGGCAATGTTGTGACGATCTTGTTGTCAACAACATGCAGATACGGCGGCAGGTTGATCAATGGAGACTGCGGGCGGAATATATGCGGGGGAGATTCGATCAAGCTTCCCGTGCATTGTGTGAGGCAGAGAGAGAGAGAGACGACACCATGCAAAGGTTGGAGTCCGCCGAGGAAGATTTACGGGTGGCACGTGACCAGGCTGAAATGGCATGGAGGTTTTATGATGAAGTGCTTCACAGGGGCGGTTCTGGAAGGAAGGCCCCGGACAACGAACTGAGTACACAATTCGCAACCATGACTTCGGTAGTAGTCAAGGAGTGTGTTGAACTTGTTCTTGCACTGATCAGCGTTACGGTTGAAGCCCTTCCCCTTCATGCGCTGCTCCACATCCTTCCAGAAACCTGTTTTCAGCCTCGCGCGACCCAACGGCTCTGTCTCTTCCCCCATAAGACTCTTCACTTCATTCCTGAACCGGCACAACCACTCAGTCTCGGTCTCCCCCCACTGATCCGTCACTGATCCGTATTCTTCTCCGTTGACGGTGGTCGTGTTGGGGGGCCTTCGGATGGCCGTGTCGTGGACATGCCCGCCAAGTTCTCCACACTGCATGGAGTGTGCTGCGAGGTGGACGGCGCAGCGACCGGAGACGGGGTGACCTTCAAACGGCACACGTGGGGGAGGGGTGCGCCCTGCGGCCGTCGGATCTGCAACTGCATCGCCTTCAAGCGCCATCCTCGTTGGCCACTCCACCGGTGGGACACCGGCTTCATTGTCCCGAATGATGCGGTTGATGATGTACTCCGGTGACCCGGTTCGTGCTCTAAGCGGCTGCGGTGAACCATCAGGAGGGATCGGCTCCGGTGACAGTGGGAAACTCGCGTGCCGAATCGCCGACAGTGCTGTAGGGGACGTTGACGAACGGCACCCCACCGTCTCATTATCCACAGAACTGACTGTGGAGGGACCGGGACTGCCATGGCCACGTCTGTCGTGACGAGCAAGAGATGTCATGAGACCATTCATGCCACGTTCGTCCGGTGACATAGAAAGCCCATCTAACATGGCCATCGCACGCATTCGCAGTCGCTGCCGAAGAGCAACCTCATCCTCTCCGCTTAAGCCAATTCGGAACCCCCCCACAGGCGAAACGGGAGATGAAAACTGTCTGCGACATGTGACAACAGACATCGGTCACAGGAGCTGTGACATGTGCATTGTCTGGGCCACGGACGGGCCCCCCCCTCCATGCTGGACCCCCGAACAGGAAGGCAGAGCTTGTGTGGGGCCGCTGCACATCTCCCTCCGCTCCTCCGACATTGTCTCCAATGGGACATTGGGACTGGGAGCCAGAGACCCAGAAAGACTGCTGTTGCTGTCCCGCCACCTGTGATGACGAAGCGAAACGTGCAGCAGGTGGGGCCTCATTCTGGGTCTCCAAGTAACCCCAGGCTTCGATAGAAGACAGGCCTGCAGGCTGTGAGTACTGGTCCATGGAGGGCTGTTCGTCGTCTTCCACGTTCAGTCAGTTAACGGTGCAAGACGAACTGCAGAGGCGCGAGACGGAGAGAAATGGACTTTCACGAGACAGCATATCCCGACGTGCACAAGACGTGCTGGATAGGGCGAGAGGCTGAGGGCATCACCGTTCATGTGTGTCGGTACAGCACGAGCACCTGCCTCCCTACGAAAAGCCTCGCCACAATCTGTATCTTCCCGTACCCGGCGGCTACGATCATTCAATTTCTTGATTTGTAACCCATAGACCTTACCCTTTGCTTTAGGATATGCCATGCATTTCCACATGGGGACTTTCCTCTTTCGGAAACTACCGCACGGACTGTGTGGTCGACCCCCAAAAAAAGGAGGACGCATGACTCCCACAAACGAGACTACATTCCAACACGCGCGAATTTACCAGAACCTTATTGCGGACACATACACCCACGGTTGCAAGACATAAGGTTACAACACTGACACCGTCTGCGACAGCGCGTTAGAAGGCCTCGACTCAGTAATTTATTGGGCAAGGCGCATATTCTCTATTTTACGACATAAAAAAAAAAGAACATCTATGCAAAAACGCCCCCCCTTCGGACCTCCGTAATATTGCAGCTTCGGGCCAGTCGAATCTGGCTACCTAAATGGGCAAAAAAATGAAAACGAAACTCTTCTATTGGCCGGCGGACAGATACCGTAACGAAATCGGTCCTTTTCGCTCTGCACCGACGATACACAAAAGGATCAAAGATCGCCGGATGTCACCTCTTGCCGGTCCTTTTCGCTCTGCACCGACGATACACAAAAGGATCAAAGATCGCCGGATGTCACCTCTCGCCGCACGCGGTTGAAAACCATGGAGCCCTAGCGTTAATCGACGCTAGTGGGACGAGGCTCCTGGGCAAGGATGACAGGCAAAAAAGTGAAAAAAAAAAGAAAAGAACAAAACAGAGCAGTGCTATTTTTAGCGCTGCGTGGCAGATAAGCTAGGCCAAGCTGTGCCTCGTTCATTCTTGCAGTACACCATCGTACCCCGGACACATCGCACACGTATGTTTTGGTCTGTATGGAACCGGAAAGGTAGCTTGTATACATTCATAATCAGTGCGCATTGCGTTCGCAGTCCTATTTTCACTGTAGGGACCGGAAAAGTAGCTTGGAAGGACCGTGATTCAATTCTCGCAGGTGTGTTTATAAAAAAAAAAAAAAAAAAAAAAAAACTCGCAATTGCAGTTGCTGCATTGAAAGGCCAAGCACAGACTGATCAGGGTGTGTTGTATTTGGGAAGTGGAAGGGGGAGACGGTCAGGATCGAACCCTTATCTCATAGAATGCACCATCAGAGTGGCTTAAAAAAAAAAAAAAAAAAAAAAAAAAA